TGATTCTTATCGGACCGATGGAAGTGAATGCCCGGACGACTGACTTTTGTCCCTGTACTTAGGCACACGGGGTAACCCTCGATGTCGGTATGGATGAGCAAGAGCGGCAAAACGGGATGGGGTATTCTGGGTACAAGGAAAGGGCCAATGCCTTGCCGGAGCCTGGGTACCGCGCTCGCGACGGTTGAGCTTCGCTTGAGGTATGGGATAAAACCCTACCGATAGTACCAGCGGAGAGACCATATTGGGGATGGCCGGTGAGGAAATGACCGACCCGTATGTGAGATTGCCTGAATTTTTTTGTGTTCCCCCCTCCGTAAAGATTGATTGAGCTTGGRTTGTTGGACGGGCATATTCCTAAGTCTATTCCCCCTCCCTTCTAAGTCCACACGAGTGAGAGATGATCGGAAGGAAGGAGGATAGAGGTCAGTCGGAATGGAACCAAGAGAAGGAATGTGGGGAAATGGATGGCCGACCAAGGGTATTATGGGAAGGAGGTACTTAGGAATGGGGAGGTAAATTAGGGAGACCTTAACGAGGGGTCTGAAATAATTCTCATCTAAGACAAGGGTTGACCTGACCTGAAGGACCGGTTGGTACTCTTTCATGAAAACAGGGGTCGGGTGCTGAAACAAGATGGCGTGATGGTTGCCTTCCCCGATCTATACCAGCGGCCCGGAAATGCCAGTAGATGTAAAGGATGGGGTATTGGTCGTTCTCCTGGAAGATGGAGCGTGGACGGACCTTGAACCAGCGTATCAAACGACAATGCTGGAAAGGGAGGAAGTATTTCTTTGGATAGAGACAGTATGGGTAATGTCAGCTTGACGAGGTTGTCACCGAGTTTAATGGATTTGGAATTCCGAGGGACAGTGGAAGCCCGAGGGTGGGTCTATTTGTCGTAAGACGGGGAAAATGCTATGGTCATAGAGTTAGCACTCGGGAATGCGCCGGATGAACTGTTTAGGAAAGCAGAAGTGGAGGTTGTGTGGGTTGCGTGTTAGCGGAGGGAAATGGAAATGGAAAGGATAGACATGCGGGTGGAACTTGGGGATAGAGGGAGCATGAGGAGACCCGTCAGAACCATGCGATGTGTGCTGCCTCCCTTCCTGGTGGATGCGGTTTTCGAAACCCGAAGCAGACTAGTACGGATATGTCAATCCATGACGAACATCGGACTATACCAGTGCGCTAGGCAAGACTTCTTCCGGTTGTCGGTAGAAATGGGGCCTTTTAAGGGGAACTGGGCGGACGAGTTGGCCGAGATACTAAACTGCCTTAGCGTGGACGATGTCTTTGTCTCTAGCTCCGTGAATTGGGGGATGGTCTATAGAAATGTGGCGATAGGGGAAACATTTCTGGAAGGGGTGAAAGAGTTGTTCTATAACGAAGAGGACGACTTCAGCGATGAGGACGAGGATGAGGAGATAGAGGTCTGGGACTTCTAAGGGGGGTCACTTAACTTAGGGAAAAACGGGTGGCCTGGTGTTGTGCAGGAAGAGGAAAGATTACTAGAGAGGAAATGATGATGGAATACACCTTCAAGGGATGGGAACCAAGGCGACTCAGGGGAGGGATAAAAATGCCTATACCAACGGAAAACGAGTGAAGGGGGACCACGTGCGACTGGGTTGGGTTTGAGGTTGCCCGAGAATTATCATATATATGGATAAAATGGATTTGGAATCCAATAAAGGAAGAGGAAGGTTGGGATGAGATAGCAGAGGGCAAAGTGGAGTCGGTCGGAACGATTGTCCTTTCCGAAGATGGTTGGCACCTATTTTGCACTACTTCAGCAATGGGACAGGATCCAACGTGGCTTCTAGGGGATGTTGAGGCGCGAACCCGAAAAGAAGGCAAGAGGTTCGCCAACGAGGGGTGGGACGAAGTTAGTAGCAGGGTTGTGATGGGAGGATGGAGGGAACTTTAGCCTCCCTGCCTGCGCACAACGGCGTGGGTGCCCGAGTTCGTGGCTGACTGGTTCGGGGGATTCGAGCACATAGCAGACGTGGCTGACTCCATGAGGGAGGTACACATAGAATGTGCCTGGCTGACCGAGGAATTCTATACGGTTTCCTTGAAATATGGACCTTTCTACGGCGATAAAGCCAGTGAAGTCATCACCGTCCTGAGGATAGGTAAGTACGACCGCCTAGAGGTAGACGCGGAAGCTTGGGATGCCATAGTTAGCCGGGAGGCGGCGGCCACGCCATCCTATGTGGACGATGTCTTTACGCTGTTTGAGGTACTGTGGTTCGATTAGAGGGACCCGAAAATCGAACACCACAGGGAGGTCGGAATATGGAGGGTGTGTGTGAACTAGGGTCTAGCATCAGAGGAGGCGTGTACATTAGTTAGCAGGGGATGCGAGGGGATTAAAAAAAAAAAAAAAAAAAAAAAAGGAAGGTAGCAACACCAAAAGGGGAAGAAGATTTGTATGTGTATGAGGCAGGGATAGCAGCAATAACCAGTGTACGATAGGTAGGGAGTGCTGAAAGACTAAAGCACGAAAAGCATGGAATCTCGGTGGGTGCAGCAGTCGGACTAAGGAAGCCGGAAAGGAGACATTGCAAGATGGCCCGACGAATGACATTCTGGGAGAATAGGCCTCGTGGGATCCTACCACCAAGAGCATTGGGGGGCGGGGTCGAAATAAGCCTGCCAGCAAGAAACGTGGCGAGTAACCTGGTAATGGACTGGGTGGGGGTAAAATTGGTGGAAGACACGGTGTACCTAGTAGTAGAGCTGGAGTGGCGTGCGAGAGGAGAATTCAGAGGCATAAACTTGGAACTCCCAAGGCGCGTTCATGCGACGAGATTCCTACACCTGTCGAAAGAAGGGTGGTGGACCTTTGGGATTAGTCTTGGCTCCCGGGGATGACCCCGTGCGAATGTTCGAAGGAGCATGGCAAATAACCTGGCGGGAGGGTTTTGAGTTCGCGGATCCAGAACGAGATGACGTGACGGCTGAGGTAAAAGTCGCCGCAGCGGGGGTCTTTGGGTTACCAAATGAGGTCGTACGAATGAGCCTGCCACCCTTTCTACTTAGACGACTGGGAGGCATAGAGCGAGTGGAGCAGGCGGTAGCTGCGGTAACTAGGCTAGATTTTGACGAAGCATTAATGTATCAGGAATACTACCGAGCCTTCCTAGAGATGGGGCCTTTTGAAGACGAACAGGGACACGAGGTGCTTTGTATACTACGAGCGGCGGTAAATACTAGGCCAGGAGTTCCGCAAATAAATGATGAGGCTATGTGGAGAGTCATCCGGCGGGAAGTAGGTCGGGGCGCAACCTACATAGATAACCTTTACCGGTTGTAACCCTTTCTATGTGGACTATGCAGGGAATCGCCAGCCCCGTGTGCGAATGGAACGTCAGCCCCGGTACCCCGGACCGCCCTGGAATAACGGCAGACGATGGGAAGTATCCCTCCCATCGAGTTCCAGCTATCGGGGATTCGGCGTAGAATGGCGGGCCGTAACCTTGGGGAGAGACACGGCCTTCATGTTGGTTGAATGTCGGTGGACGGGGATGAGAATCAACCGGGGACCAGGGGATGATCTATTCTCGAGTTTAGAGGTAACCGGGGTCCTCTACCTACCCGAGGTTGGGTGGCACTTGCTATGGATAGGAATAGCGCAAGGCCACGAGCTGGCTCCCGTCTTTCGGAGGGCGGCCCGGGTGTTGACACGGATAGGACAATCGGTCCAGGGTAGAAGAAACCCGGGTGGAAATGGGAGGTTGGAGGGAATTCAGGGCACCAACCACACCGCTGAGGTGCCGAGTTCCCCGTTTTATGATAGACCTCGTCTTCGGGAGCCTCGCAAGGGCGCGGGAGCTGGCAGACTCGGCGATAGTCTGGGTAGACCACTTCCCCACTCCGACCATTGGGATGTTCTACGATGTCGCTATGGAGCATGGGCCGTTCTAGGGAAACAGGGCCCACGAGTTACTGGAAATCATTCACATCCTGATGTTTAGGGCGGGATGCGAACGCATAATCCAAAGGGAAATCGAGATAGGGGAAAGTTATCTAGCGGGGGTGGCGCAACTTCGAAGAGCCTACCGAACCGGAAGGGCCACGGGGGCGAGAACGGGACTAGCACCCACAGGCGGGCCGATAGGGCAAATCGAGTATAGTCAGTTACGTACAGAAGTTCGCCGATGGAAATAAGAAAGGACCTTGGACCCGGATGATCAAAACCCGCTAGAAAACAAAGAACGGGGTAGACTCCTAATGGTTGTCGTGACCCTGAAGGTCGGAAAGGGAAATACTGCTCGGGAAACTTTCCCTAGCAAGATGCCTAACCCGGACTCCTACGCACCTGCCCGATGAGGCAAGGACGCCCTAAACGAGCCTGTGATAAAGGAAACTAAGTCACGCCCTTAGCTCGACAGGGCAGCAGGGCCAGCCGTGGCTCCTTTTTAAGGAAGCAATCAGGAAACGGAGATAGGGAAAAGGCTATTTCCCGAATAAAGATAAGCCAACGAAGCGGGGAACCTAGGGAACCTAAATGCTTCGTGTTGCGTGTGTCCTGGGAATTCTTTCGCTTATGCAAAACTAGGCAAAATGGCAAAAGAGGATGAGACGAATAACCGTAAGAGCGAAGGAGGACCGGGCTTAGGAGGCAGTGCCGTACAAAGCGAGGAAGGGCAGAAAGACAGAGAATCGATAAATCCGGATGGTACCAAAGGGAACCGGAAGGATAGATAGTAGGGCTAGCCGCCTGCCGACCACGCCAGCAGTCACACGAGGGTGTGAGGGACTCTGGAGCCTTAGGGAAAGGGTGTTGGGATGGTTCCACCCAAAAGGAACTGCGAAGACCAGGGAGGGTCAGAAGGCCGGCAAGGAAGGACCGGATACCAGTATGGCAGGCGAGGCCAGTAACTCCTAAGGCGGCCTTAGGAAGATGGTATCGTCTCTTGCGCAAGCACTAAACAAAAACCAAGGCTACCTAGCGGACGCTAAGAAAAAGTTGACGTTTGATGGGGCGAACATCACGAAATTTCTGATAGATTACGAGAACCTGGCCGCGCTGTTGAAATGGACCGAAGAAGAAAAAATGGACCACCTGGGGCAACATGTGTCTTTGAGCCTGGGACGGGACATAATGGCCATCGTAGCCGCAAGCCAATCCTGGAAGGAAACCCGGGATGTGATGATGAGAAAGTACCTAGCAGCAGAGAAGATGGCTACGGAGGCCGACTTAGCGGCAGTCCAAAGGAAGAACTTCTCGACGTACAATGACTTCCTACGGGAGTTTACTCTGGTAGCACTAAGGATCCCGGGGGTAACGGACCGAATAATGAGCAAATACTTCCTTAGGCAGTTCTCCGAGTTCGACAAAGACAAGATTATGTCGGCCTACCAGCAAACGAGTAAGTTCGTAAATACCAGGGATGTTGATTTTAGCACAGTAACGGATCTGGTCGAGAAAACAGTAGTAACCGAGACATTGGCCTTGCTTAAGGAAGGGGAGGTCATAGACCTGACCGGAAGAACAGGCGACAAGGTTAAGAAGGGGATCGAAAGTCTACATGAACGGGTGCACGGAGTCGACAACAAGATTGAAAGGATGGAGAGCGCACTATTGGTTATGCAGGCGCAAGTATCCCGACCCCCCCTCCCTCCGCAGGTAGCCGTAGTTCCGCCGGGTGTAGCCAATCGGGGATTTGGACGAAGAGATCCGGCTAATGAGCAGTGCAGATACTGCACCGCGATGGGACATTATGTGCGCGCATGTCCAAAACTCAACCATGATATATTAAAAAGGAGATGTACCAGGTCGTTAAAAGGGGAGTTATTCGGACCGCAAGGAGAACGAGTGAATTGGAACTCGCCACGGGGAATGCGGCGAGCCATTATCATGCTCAATGGGCTAGAGATAGCGGCCGTAGAAGCTGAGCCGGTGGTCGATATCATCTGGGAACAGCTGCGGGGTCGTGGGCCGCAGGTCAACTTCATTTTGGAAAACGACGAACGTGATAGGGTGAACCCGACTACTCGGTTAGGAACGGCCGGAAGAAGGATTATCCGTGACACCGTGATAGAGGAGGTTGTTGGGAGTTTCGTACCCCAGGCAGAACCTGAGGCAGAGGAGCCGGAGAAAGTCTATGGAAAGCCTAGGGAAGAGGAGCCTGCGGACAAGGTTACCGCTACCCCAGGCAGAACCTGAGGCAGAGGAGCCGGAGAAAGTCTATGGAAAGCCTAGGGAAGAGGACCCTGCGGACAAGGTTACCGCTGCCAAGAAGAAGTTTCGTTATCAAATCCCGATCTTAACCTTGCCCGAGATCGACGACACCCTTAGCAAGTTGCTAGGAACCATGGTGTCGGTGTCGTTTCAGACCATGCTGCAGGCTAGCCCTAGATTGCTCAAAGAGCTTAGACAACTATTGACTCGACGGCAAGTAGAGATAGACGAGAACCCCGAAGCACCGGAAGAAGAAAGGGAGGAGGAAGCCCCGCAAGAGGTCGCTAACCTTCAGAGGAGTCGTACCAGACCGAGAAGGTGGTGAAGTCATGAGGGCACCTCCTGGGACAAAGCTTAGTTTCCATGCGCTCCCCGTAGGAAAATTTAAGATTCAGATCGGAAACCCATCAGAGGTGTCGGTGTCTTTTCAGATCGCTAACCTTGCCTGAGCTCGACGACACCATTAGCAAGTTACTAGGAACCATGTTGTCGGTGTCTTTTCAGACCATGCTGCAGGCTAGCCCTAGGTTGCTCAAAGGGCGCAGACAATTGTTGACTCGGAGGCGAGTAGAAATAGGCGACAACCCCGAATTACCAGAAGGGGAGAGGGAGGAGGAAGCTCCGCAAGAAGTGGCTAACCTTCAGAGGAGTCACGGGGACTTGGAGGATCTCGAAAAAGCCTTTGCAGACATTCGTTTGAGCTTGCCTGACCGAGAGGGCGGCGAAGTCATGAGATCACCACCCGGGACGAAGCTTAGCTTTCATGCGCTGCCCGTACGGAAACTGAAAATCCAGATCGGGAGTCATCATACCGACGCATTAGTAGACGGGGGAGCAGAAATTACTCGCATAAGGAGAGATTTCGCAACAATCACAGGCTGTACAGTAAATAAGTAACCGGGAGCATCCGGGGAGCCGCTGTGGAAATTCCGTTCGCAGGGTATGTCACGAAATATGCAGTCAAGGCGGGAATCAGGGAGTCGATCTGGTAGTTTCAGCGGATGACCGTAATGGAGGAAATGGATCACGACATAATCCTTGGGAGGCCATGGTGCGCAAACGTAGAAATGATAGGCATGCACTTGCACGACGGCACGTACATGGTAGACATAGAGGACCCAGTGACCGGCCGGGGTGAGCTCCTCCGACTCCTCGGAACGGGAGGGGACCCTCCAAAGGGGAAGTTGGCAACATGGTCGGCGTCATTTGAAGATAGCGCACGGAAAGGGGCTTTCGCACGGATGGAGGGCATGAGAGAGAGGGTAGAAATTATGATTGAGGAGGCATTCAACAAGAAGGAATGGATCAAAATGGGCCTGCCCCAGAAGAAGAGGAGGCAGGAGGACGAAATCTTGGGTGTTATGGTAGCCGAAAAGGAATCGGAAGTCGAACTTGGTGCCAGCCTGCCTAGACGGAAAGAAGTACGCATGGACGTGCCAGAAGTCGCACTCGAGATCCCCGATTTGCTACAGCTTATCAAGGCCCTCAGATATCACAAGGTAGGAGTGGACTCGGCGGCCCTGGCCAAATTTGAAGGAGAGGTGCAAAAAGGATTGCCTGAATGGGAAATTAGTTAGTATTCAGCCACGAATCGCAGAGGCAACAAGGGCAATCCCTATAGTTCATTTTTTAGGAGAAAGATCCCAGAAGGAAGTATTCGAAAGTACAAGCCGGTAGGAAAGAAAGCAAAACCTGCCAAGTGTTTCACCTGACATTTGCCTTCAGTGATCACCAAAAGGGGCGGCTGGACACGAAGCTGATTCCTCCGGTCAGAATCCACACGGTAGAACATGAGTGCTGGAATGACAAGGGACCGTCCTACGAATTTGGGATAGCAGGGGAGGTGACAGACCTTCTTCGGGCGAAGATGGACTCCTTCGTCGCAGAACCTACGGCATCACCATACGCAATCCGGTGGTTCGTCTTTCGGAAGCCCAACAAGACACTAAGGTGGATTCAGGATTTGCAAAAGTTGAATGCGGTAACCATCCGGGATGCTGGTTCGCTGCCTCAAGCTGATTTATTAGCAGAGTCACACACGGGCCGAAGCATTTACTCCCTGATCGATTTGTACTCAGGATACGACCAACTTCCATTGGATGTCAGGGATAGGCCGTACACTGCAATGCACACCCCCGTAGGCCAGTTGCAGATGCAGGTGACCCCTATGGGTTTTACGAACGCGGTAGCCAAAGCGCAAAGGAGGATGCTCGCCGTAGCCGGAGATATGTTTCCAGAAAAGTGCGAGCCCTACATCGATGATAATCCGATCAAAGGCGCGCAGGAGAAAGACGAGACGGAAGTCCAGCCAGGAATCCGAAAGTTTGTGTGGGACCATCTACAAGATATCAAGGACTTACTCCGCCGATTTCTAGTATACAACATCACGGCTAGTGGACCAAAGAGTATTCTAGCAGTACCGGAAGAACCCATATTGGGATTTCGCTGTGGCGCGTACGGTAGGAAGCCGGATCCGACAAAGGCCATGATCAGAGAAGAGGGAACCATGGATTGGACGGAGGAGCGAGAAGGAGCCGTCCAAACCCTCAAGGATATATTGACATCTGAGCAAGTCGCCTTGTCAGCACCTTGCTTTAATGACAAAGTGGGATGACCGTTCATCCTAGAAACGGACGGAGGACCCTTGGCCGTACGAGGCGTGCTGATTCAACGGGATGAGGAAGGGAGAGAGAGACCAATTAGGTTCGAAAGTAGAACCCTGAACTCCGCAGAACGGCGGTACTCGCAATTCAAAAAGGAGGTCTTAGCCATTTTACATTGCCTCAAGACCTTTCGGGCCTACCTATTTGGGAGGCGATTCATCTTAAGGATCGATCCGACGAATGTCGTGGGGTCCTTAAAGAACTACAGGCCTATACATCCGACGGTGGGAAGGTGGGTAGGATTTATCTGGCAGTTCGATTACAAGATCGAACGGATTGCTGGAATTAGAAACAAGGCGGATGGGTTGAGTCGGGTCTGCATCACTCCCGAAGGGGTGGAGGATGCGGAGCCCATAGACGCGTTCCTTGAATTTGAGGGAGCAACTCTTGCGGTGGACAACGAAATGATGGGCGAAGAATGTGCGTCGGGTGAACTGTTGATCCGGACTTTGGAGAAGGGGGCGCCTGCCGTAGTAGCCGAACTTAGAGCAGGACCCGTCACCACTCGAGGGCATAAAGAGGAGAGAGATTCATGGGGAGCAATAGTACGACCAAAGGAGGAGCTAATAGCAATGGCGGTTGAGGGAGGGCGGGAAGCTGTGATGAGCCTAGTGAAATCTTGGGAAAAGAAAGAGTTGCAATGGGTGGTAAACCAGATGCAGGAAAGAAAGAATGAGGATCACGAAGGGAAGGACTTTTTCTACCCTCAAATATACGAAGGGATCTTTCGAGAGATCGGGTTGTTGCTGGTAGGAAACAAGCAACCCACGGAAGTCAGCGTTAAAGCAAGGCAGGAGGCCGAAAGGTACGTCCTAAGGTGCGGCCATCTGTTCCGAAAGGAAGAAGGTGCTATGCCTAGAAGAGTTGTGTGCGGAAGATCTAGGCAGTTGGACGTTATCCAAGCAATGCACGACGGATTAGCAAGAGGACATCGGTCGTCCAAAGGTACTCTTGCAAAAATAGCGCCACTTTATTATTGGCCAGGCATGGCAAGCATGGTCGCCATATACTGCCAGACATGCCTTATATGCCAAGAACGAAGCTCGACACGTGTCTTTGAGCCACTTAGGCCTACGCGGGTGCTAGGGCCAGGACATCAGGTCCACCTTGACCTTGCGGTCATGCCTGTATCAACAGATGGGTACAAGAATATTCTAGATGCGCGAGACAACTTGAGTGGGTTCGTGGAGGCGGTCGCTCTCAAGAAAAAGACAGGGAGAAGAGTAGCGGACTGGATAGAAGACTTCTACTTGAGACATCCTCTCGTCAGGAGGTTTATAGCAGACAATGGGACAAAATTTGTAAACCAAGAAGTATTGGGGATGCTTAAGAGACTTTGCGTACCGATCAAACTCATCGAGCCATATCACCCAGAGGCCAATGCACCTGTGGAAAGAGGCCACCGAACCTTAAAAAACACGATTGCGAAGCTTGCAGCAAATCATCTGGGAAGCTGGCCTAGGTATCTCAAGCAGGTTGTCTTTTCAAAAAACATGACACCAAAGAGGACAACAGGATGTATCCCATCAGAACTTTGGTACGGAAGGGAGATCGACTTTTCAGTCGAGGCCTTGATACCTACCTGGAACAAGTTAGATGATGATCCACGAAAGACTACGGAAGAGTTAATCGAGGCAAGATGTCAGCAGGTCCTTATGAACGAAGAGGTCATGGAAGACATCGCCAACCGGGTACTAGACAGCAGGATGAGGGACAAAGCAAGGTGGGAGCAGGTTAAGAATGTCAGAAAGGAGCCGCTTCAAGTGGGGGAGATGGTATTGCTAAGGAATTCGGCACTAGAAAGTACTTGGTCTGGACAACTGGGGAGGAGGTTCAAAGGCCCCTAACGGATCGCCAAGCGGGTGGGACTTTCGAACTGGAAGATTTGGATGAAACTGGATTGAAAGGACCCTTCCCGGGGCAACAACTGGTCAGGTTTCTTAGTCGGGACCCAGTGGAACAATGGCTTCAGGAGGCCGAGGATAGGGAAAACTGTAAGGTGACAAGCTAAGCACTGACAACGGCCTTGCCCACGCTTTTGGTTCTGTCTCTGACTGCGTCCGTGGGACTGTCATTTCTTTTTGACTGGGGCAATGGCTTGGTCAGACTGAGGTTGAAATGCAGGATGACTTGGGGATTTGCGGTAACGGGTTTGTGCGGCGACGGGATTGTTGGGACGTTGTATCATAGTTTTTTGACGGGGAAATAATGGGATTTTCACAAACGACGCATTTGCATAAGGGAGGGAAATGTATAAATGGGGCATGGTGCGAGGGATACTGGGAGCCTTCTGGGGAAAGGGGAAACTGCCTATCAGACTGGGGGAACGGGTGTATGAGGGGCATTGCGGGTGTTGTTTTGTTATACAAGACTTAGAAGAAAAACGAGAAAAAGCAAGAATGGATTTCGGCAATGAGAACGATTGCGGGGCAATCAACAAGCCTACCGAAGGGGGAGAAGCAAGACCAAGCCAAGGAAGAAGAACAACGAAGAGAAAGTTGTACATAGGTCTCATGGGCGGGCCGGTGGTAGGCAGGGGTGGAAAACAATGCGTATGTAGAAGGCCCTCGCCCCTCCACAAGGGGAAAGGTACAGAAATCTCATCTGACAGTGAGGGCGAGAAGGAAAGGGCAAATATGGGAGAAGGGGGCAATGCAGATATGAGAGAGAAGGCTCAGGCCTCTGGCGAGGATGGAACCAATAGGGGTAAACAACGTGAGCCTTGGCAAGGGGAAAGCGAGGAGGCGTGCGCAACGAGCATGAGGAGGGCGAGGAAAGAAGGGAAAACCCGTCTGAAGGACGAAGCGTCCATGGCAGTTGTGAGGGGTATGGGACAAGCACAGAGATTCCTTATACTTACGATTCGAAGATCCTGACGGGAGGGTATAGCCCCATACGGACTATCTTTTACTATGTGAATGAGGTCAGTCCCGGTCCAGGCTTTGTATCTAAGTCTTCCCTGCGCTATTCGGCACCATTCTGTATGTATCGGAATGATCCTCGGTTTGAATGTACATTGCCCAACCAGGCATGTAACAGTTGGTATCGGAACGCCGCACGTGAATCAGGACAACCTGATCTGACACGTGTGCAGGGACTAGGTAGCTGACAAGTCCTTATTGATTAATTAGAGCACACTAGTTAAGCCCCAAAATCACTGCTGAAAATCGATTTATTTATTTTCTTCTTGGATTTTGTTTTCTCGCTATTCTGTTGTAGCGCAACATCTGAAATTTCCATTTTTCGTTTTCCTTTTGAAATTTCGAAATTTCATTGTTAAAAATCTGGAATATCTTTCTTTTTTCGAAAATTTTGATTTCCTGTTGCATTTCCCGTTACTTAAAATTTCGGAATATCTACTTTTTCGAAATTCGTTTTTATGACAGCGGTACGGGAAATCCCCCCTGCAGGTATTATTTTCCAAACTGCGAATACTCTCATCTGAGTAAATTCGAATACTTGTGTGAGGATTGAGCCCTCAAGAAGGGGCCTTCCCATGATGAACATGTTCTGGGCTAAGGCCCCAGCAAGCCTAGTGCCTGCCCTAAGTGAAGGCGGGCCAGCAAATCAACAAGAGCCCTCTGTACAAACATTTCACGAAGTGGGGTTCATACAATTGCAACACGCCAGTTGGTTGGAGTGCACCGAGTCTCGAATCTCTGCAAATGTGGAGATCCCAGGGCCTCTGAGTTAGTTAGGCCCTAGGCACTTGAACGTGAGGCCGACAATGCATGTTGGGTATAGAGGCCGAAAATGCCAAAAGGAAATGGGCCCACTATCTGAATCTGGCCGCAGGCCTTGACGAAAGAGGCCCAGCTGCATCACCCGGGCCCCAACTGCATCGGGCCTGGGTTCAGGCACTGGGGCCCAGTCGCAGGCTGAAGGGAGGCCACCCACACGCAACACTGGCATATAGGCAAGCAGGGCGAGTGGGCAGGGATCTTGGCCATTGCGGGCAATGCCGGCACGCTGCGCAAATGTGAGCTGCTGCGCTGCGCTAGGCTGAGGTGCGAGACAGGCAGGCGCTAGGCGATAGCGCCCTGCCTGTACACAGGGCGCTGGCGGCCATAGCCGGGCTGCCTGAGGTCGCAGGGGAGGTGAGGGCGAAGGTGGTTCTTCGGAGGTGACGGGCGCTGTGTGGGATAACAAGGGAGAGTGTGGGTGAAGGAGGAGACGTACCTGGTGGAGGTGGAGGTCGGCATTGGTGTTGACATCATCACTCGCTGGTCGTCAAGTTGTCTGGTTGCTTTCATTGCTGTAGTTGTAGGCTTAGGCTGTAGAGTAGATAGGGCGCCTGGCGCCATTCAGAAGAGAGAGCTACATTGGGTTATCCTGTTGGTGTTGCCCTGTTGGGCTTGGACATTGACTCACGATTCTTTTGTATTGTTCTCAAATGGATGGTTAGTCGGTTCCATTGTGCTATCTGCTCTTGCTTTGAGTACTTGGACTTCAGTGTGATTTTGCAATCCGGATTTCTGTGCTTCGTCCATATTCATGTTCCTTGCAATTTGGTATCAGAGCTGGTTTGATTCGCCACTTACCTTGGTGCGCTGGTGTTATACAGACTTGGTGCGTTGACGATGCTTCTTCGCAGTTGGTTCTTGTGACGTCAGGCCAGATTAGGCGCACAGCCTGGGTAGAGAGGTGTGCGCCGGAAGGCTAAGACGACATATATTGCCGTGGTGACAGGCGGAATGTATGATTGTCGCACACTTTATTAACTATAGGTGACCTTACGGCCGCCCTCAAAACCACATTCGTAAGCTGACAGTTTTTTCGGATAAGTTAGGCTGGATGAAGAAGCAAATAAGAAAGAAAGGCCAATTAAGATCAAAGAAAGTAGTAAACTAATGACCAAATACACACAAATAGGTGCAAACTCCGGACTCTTGGTGGAACGAACCACTTCGTGCTTGCAACTTTTTTTTACCCAACTCAATCGAATGAGATTGAACTGGCACCGCTGCCACTTCGTGGCCTTGGACATGTAAGAGTCATACAAAACCCAATTGTCTCGGTATTTCTTACCGTGAAAACCAAGCCAAGTTTGATTATCAGGGAAGTCCCCATGGCAACACATACCCAATAAAAGTTGTTACAATCATTAATAATAAAATGACCACTCCAAGACACCACACTAATTCTCGTGGACTGGCATAACTCCCATAATAAAGACCACGRAAAATATGAAGATAAACCACAATAAAGAATAGAGTGAAACTTTCACACCCTTGGTGATTACTCGAGTCCTCTCCGAACCGTACGAGATAGTCACCTATCATACGGCTCTCCAACTCAACTTACGATTAGGATAGATAGATATTTCTGGATATAGGCCCCTGAGGTGGCACTGCATTGCGTTGTGGGTGGTACCGAGGCCAAGACCGGTCATCAAATGCACACTCAACTCAATTGGTGAGAAATCTATGGTTGGGGGCAGCTATCTCCAGCTACGTTGTTCCCTTACCTTATCTACTCTCTCAATCTCTTCTTATCGTGAGGAAGTGAGTCCAACTTGAGAGTCCTCTCTTTTGGTGAGGTGTCGTGAGCGCGCTACCTTGAGAGACGACAATCTTCCCAGAAGCATCTGGAAGGAGAAAGGGCGGTGCCTCTGAAGGGCCCTGGTCGAAGCACTGGGTCACGGTCACCATGCCAACCCAATGGGAGAGGGTCACGCATGCGATGGCTGCTGTCCATTTTGGCACTTGCTGCGCTGAATAGAAGTCTGCCGAGTGTGCCGGTTTTTTACGAGACGCTTACCAGATCGTCTATAAATATTTCTGGTTGGGGACTCGGATTGATTCTGGCTGTGATCGTCGTCCTGACTGCAACGTTAAATAATTCCTGAAGAGATGGGGGCGCTCTTAATATTCCTCCTGATCAGCCAAATCAACCGGGTGTAAGGCTTGTTCCGTACGAGGGTAAATAAGAGTGGACTGGCTGGCTTGCTTGGTAACGACTTGGGCCCAGGGGTGGGCCGACTTACACACGAAGACACCGCTGCTCAATGATGCTGTTCGGTATGTTGGATTGGGGTGAGGGTAGGTTCTAATTGATGCTCAACTGGAAACACAACCATACCCACTGATCATACATCTGCAACATGGTCTTTTTGCATTCTTAATTAGTTGGTGGACAGACTGCTAACACCTCACAGACAGATTAGAGTAGGACTGTTGTATACTACCATAGCCAGTTCTATCTAATGTTGTTGTAAGTGAACCAGTCAAGATACATTTAGACTGTTGATAATCTGTTGTGAATGCTGTAGATTGCCATTTGATCGGTCAAGTAGGGGACCTGCCGAACACAACTATTTTTAGAAAATTAGGTGTCGGTCAGACACATGCTGCGGTAGGACTCCAACAGGGGGTTGTAGTGCACATACAGTCTGCCTAACTGATGAGTGGGTCACACACCGATGAGGGTAGAGTTGACAATGTGAGACTTACACGTTCGGGAGCACTTAGGGTCCCGCACGTGTACCAGGCCTTACAACCGGAAGACGAACGACGGATTCGTGCCGAACGCAGAGCCCGGGCGCTAGCAGCAGGGATAGCAGCAGCAAACGCAGCAGCTAGAGAGCAGGCAGCCGCAGCCAAAGCATTAGCAATGGCTAACGACACAAGCTCTGCTGCGTCATGATCTGCATCCTCGTTTGCGTCCTCGTTAGGGACCAATGGGACCCTGTTGGGAATGCCTCAGGGTACTTCCGGGGCAGTAAGTTCTAGTCAGTCCACAAGTCAAATGGCGGGCTCGCAGTTTAGCCCATTGACCCCACGCGGCAGGGAGCTTTTAGAGCTCCAACAGGTCGAGAGGATCCGCTTGAAGTTAGAGAGGGAACTGAAGCAAGCAACCGACAGAGAGAATGAGATCAAACAAAGAGCAACCAGGCTTGAAACGTTAGAGGCAGACAAAGCTGAGTTAGAGGGATTGGATGAGTCAGGACTGTCTGACCCAATGAAAACATTGAAGAACAATATGTTGTCGCTGCATGCGCATGTGGACAGCAGATTGGACTTTATGCAGAGCACCCTAGGCCAGATCTTGGACCTTTTACAAAGGCCAGGACTTAGGCCACCAGCACAGTCGCCGTTGCCGTTAACGGCGATGTCTGGCCCCTTTCCCGTACAAGCTGGCCCACAACCAAGTGGCACGTCTGCAGCAGCTGCACAGACTGTTGCTTCTTCTTCTTCGGGTCCAGTGGTGGGTGCTACACCACCGCAACAACCTGTTCCTCAACAGGGACAACCACAAGGTCAATGGTACCCTAAGACCCCAATGAAACCGCCTCTTGCCTTCTCAAGCGAGAGGAAGGACGAAGAACTCAACACTTGGTTGAGAACAGTTCCGGTTTGGGTGAAGGCGAAGAGGACCTTGCCAGAGGACGAAGTGGTTACTGCTGCATCTTACCTCGAAGGTAAGGCAGCCAAATGGCTAGATGGTATAGTTGCAAAGGCCGGGTATAGACGACGTATGGCGGACTGGGCTCAGTCTATTACGTTAGACCAGTTCTTTGAGATGGTAGAAGCTCGGTGGCACAATCCTCAGCAGGCACAAATAGCCACTGATGCGATAAACAGACTAGATCAAAGAAAGTTCAAGTCAGTCAGAGAACTTACGACTACCATAGAGAGCCTCATCGTCGTTCCAGGCATCAACTACAGTGACCACTTCCTGTTGACTACGTTTGTTAGATGTCTTCCAGAGAACCTCAGGAACTTGCTCGCCAGCGAAGCTCGCCTCGAGTACCATTCGTTTGAGACATTGTCTAGAAAAGCCTTAGACTTAGAGGCTACACCAAGAAACGCTCAACCCTCTCTGAATGATGAGAGGAAGAAGAAGAGTCCGCAAGAATGGAAGAAGAAGGGGGCGAAGTTGATGATGGTTGAGTCCGATGGGACTCAACCAGAAATTGATGAGCTCACAGACCTGCTGGATGGTTCAGAGTACGACGGCGAGGAGACCGCTGAGGGTAGCACCCTCGCCGCAGTAGTTAAGGCTAAGGCTGGTGGCCGAGTGAAGGGCCAACCAAAGAGTCAAGGGAAGGTCGCCTCCAATCAGACCAAAGTGGCAGATTGGGTCAAGGCAGGTCTTGAACAAGACGTGTGGCGGGACCGCCGAGTGCGTGGCGCTTGTATAAACTGTGGTGAATACGGGCACACCCAGTACAAGTGCCAGAACGCCAAGGTCACGCAGAAGACACCTCCTAAGATGGGGGCATCTTCTTCCCAGGCTTCTAGCTCGGGAAACATGTGAGGCCGGTGGAAGTTTTAGTTGCTTCTACTCGTGGTGAAGTGGGCCTGATACCCTCCCCACTTCATGAGCAGGCCATAGCTAATGACTCTTCAGTCACCCCGCAGACTTATCTAAACCAAACTATGCTCTGTACGTTAGATGTGTCTGAAGCCTTAGAAGATCGGGAAAGTGAGTGGTCAAACAAGGACCCTTGCGAATCTTGGGTGGCGCTAAGGAAAGGTCCTAGAAGGGAACATTTCGTGGTGGAAGTCGATGTAGGAGGCCGCAAATGTGGTGCCTTCATAGACATAGGCTCCACAGGGAATTACATAAGTCGCGACTGTTTGGAAAGGCTGCACCTACAGGACCGGGTACGGCACCTTAGTAGACCTGTAGCATCTACTTTGGCCAACAAGGAGCGCATGATAGTCACAGACTATATCAAGGCCGCAGTCTGTACCTTCTCCTATGGAGGAGGAGAACTTAATCATAAGATTTCGTTCTTGGTTAGCGACGACTTACCATTTGACATGTTGTTAGGCATGTACTACCTTGAGGTTGCTAAGCCCAGTTCGACTAGGATAAGAAGGTGCTAAAGCATAAGCTGCCCGATGGCAGGACATTCAGATTGACTAAGTTCAAAGCCAGTAGCATAATAGATACCTATGGCTGCTTGTGCGCATCAGCGTTCTATAACTATTACAAACAGAACCAAGAGGAAGGTATCTACCTTGTGTATGTCTCTGAGAAAAGGGTGGTCGTAAAAACACCCCCAGAGATAGAACACGTCGTTGCTAAGTTCCCTGATTTGTTCGAAGAGCCTACAGGGGTCGTAGAAAGGGAAGTTGTCCACGATATAGAAATCATCCCAGGGAGTAAAACCCCAAAGGGGAGGATATATAGGATGGCTCCCGCCGAGTTAGATGAACTCCGACGACAACTGAAAGAGCTGACAGAGAAGGGATGGATCCGGCCTAGTACCTCCCCTTACGGATCTCCAGTGTTATTCGTACCGAAGAAGGGGGGTACGTTAAGGATGTGCATTGATTATAGAGGCCTCAATGCCATCACCGTGAAGAACGCAGAGCCTCTACCTCGCATAGACGACCTACTGGATAGGGTGCAGGGATGCAAGTACTATAGCAAGGTAGACTTGAAATCCGGCTATCATCAGATCGCTATAAGACCTGAGGACCAACACAAGACAACTTTTCAAACTCGATATGGTCTGTATGAGTTTGTAGTGATGCCCTTTGGTCTTTGCAATGCGCCGGGAACATTCCAGCACGCTATGAATCGGATCTTCCATGACCATTTAGATAAGTTTGTCGTGGTTTACCTTGACGACATTTGATCTTTAGTAAGTCTGCCAAGGAGCATGCACAACACGTTGAGACTGTACTTTCACTCCTGCGACAGCGCAAGTATAAGGTCAACCTAGAGAAGTGTGAGTTTGGTTGCACTAAGATATTATACTTGGGTCATGAAGTATCCGCGGAAGGGATTAGGCCGGAAGATGCGAAGGTGGCTAGTATTCGAGACTAGCCACGACCTCAGACTGTCACTGAGGTCAGATCTTTCTTAGGAATGTGCGGCTACTATAGGAACTTCGTAAAGAACTATTCTACAGTCGCCTTTCCTTTGACAGATCTAACTCGACTTGACACACCATGGGACTGGAGTGATGAGTGCGAGGGTGCTTTCAAGCGATTGAAGCATGCACTCATGAATCATGAAGTTCTCATGGTTCCCTGTCCTCAGAAGCCGTTCATAGTGACCACTGACGCAAGCCAATACGGCATTGGCACAGTGCTGGCTCAGCAGGATGGGAAAAAGTTGAGACCGATTGAGTACATGAGCAAGAAAATGCCATCGAAGAAATTGGCAAAGTCCACCTACGAAAGGGAACTCTATGCTCTCTACAAGGCACTTGTCCATTGGAGACAYTTTYTGTTGGGRCGGTTCTTCTACTTGAGAACTGRCCATCAGACACTCAAATGGATCAAGACTCAACCGGCTCTTTCTGATGCACTCAAGCGATGGATTGARGTCATAGMTCAATATGACTTCAAGCTTGAGTATCTGAAGGGAGAGTACAACAAGGTTGCAGAYGCGMTATCAYGTAGGGCASACTACCTAGRGGCGCTAGTTTCTGACTTTGGTGTATCKGAAGAARTAACTCAATCRWTGGTGGGAGCCTATCAGGAAGACCCTGTCACGATGGACATCATGCGCAAACTTCAGGCAAAAGACAAGGCCACGAAAAGTGAGTTTGTGATGGTGGACGGGCTACTCTATCTTGATAAGGCCGGTGTTAAAAGGTTAGTAGTTCCATCTAGTGAACGTTTGCGTAGTTTGTTTTTAGGAGAATGCCATGACGCAACCGGGCACTTTGGTTACAAAAACACGAGTGCTAATCTAATACATCGATTTTGGTGGCCTGGAATGCTAGATGACGCGAAGAAGTATGTAAAGACCTGTCAGGTCTGTTAGCGGGACAAGCCGCGAACTCAAGCACCGCTTGGGTTGCTGAAGCCCTTACCTATCCCCGCTGGTCCTGGACAGAGTGTTTCCATGGATTTCATGGACACCCTGGTGACCAGTAAGAGTGGCAAGAGGCACATTTTTGTCATCATCGATCGATTCACCAAGTACGCTAGACTAGTTGCCATGCCAGAGACCGCAAGGACTGACCATGTTTTAAGTTGTTCCAAGACAACTGGGTGCGTGACTTTGGTTTACCAAAGACAATCGCTAGTGACAAAGATGTCCGTTTCACAAGTGAGCTGTGGAAGAAGACTGCTGAGCAGATGGGTAGTCAACTTCATATGACTTCAGGGAATCATCCCGAAGCCAACGGACAGGCCGAGCAAATGAACAGAATTGTACAGCACCTGCTGAGGCATTACATCAAGCCCAGCCAGGATGACTGGGATGAGAAGTTACCTCTCATCGCCAGCCTGTACAACAACGCTGTACACAACAGTACCGACGTTAGTCCTAACCAGCTGCACTTGGGATGGAAGCCTAGATCCGCTCTAGACTTCCTCCTACCTGAAAACCGATCCTCCGCAACTCCAAGCACACTTGAGTATGGTCTGCACTATGAGAAGTTGCTGCAGCAAGCTGTCGAGCACATCAAGAAAGCTCAGCAAGCAATGATTGCTTCTGAGAACCAGCATCGACGACAATCCTCATTTCAGGTAGGGGAACGTGTCTGGGTCAAGGCTAGTGAGCTAGGACAGAAATTCGGTAACTCTAGAAAACTATTGCCTCAGTACTTTGGTCCTTGGGAAGTCCTGGTTGTAGTGGGGGATGAGATGGATGGTCCTACCTATGTTATCCGTATCCCTGGACACCTACGCACTCACCCTGTCTTTCATGCCTCAAAGCTTGCACCTTTCGCTGAGACTGATCAATTCCCTTCAAGGAGATCGATGCTGCCCCCAACCATGGATGGTCAAGTGGACATCGACGACATTGTGGATCACAGAGATTTGCTTGTTCAGAAGCCATTGGGTAGGGGAAGACCTCCTAAACCCAAGAGAGAATATCGCGTCAGATTCAGGCATCATACGGATCCAAAAGAAGATCGGTGGTTTACCAGAGAGGAACTGATTGACACAGNCCCAAGAGAGAATATCGCGTCAGATTCAGGCATCATACGGATCCAAAAGAAGATCGGTGGTTTACCAGAGAGGAACTGATTGACACAGCTCCTCAAGTGCTGGCAGAATATGAAAGAAAGTTAAAAGGGAAGACACCTGTGAAGTAAGCATCTCAGCGGACTTTCGAAGCTAAGGGGGATGGAATGTGAGGATTGAGCCCTCAAGAAGGGGCCTTGCCATGATGAACATGTTCTGGGCTAAGGCCCAAGCAAGCCTAGTGCCCGCCCTAAGTGAAGGCGGGACAGCAAATCAACAGTAGCCCTTTGTACAAACATTTCACGAAGTGGGGTTCATACATTTGCAGCACGCCAGTTGGTTGGAGTGCACCGAGTCTCGAATCTCTGCAAATGTGGAGATCCCAAGGCCTCTGAGTTAGTTAGGCCCTGGGGCACTTGAACGTGAGGCCGACAATGCATGCTGGGTATAGAGGCCGAAAATGCCAAAAGGAAATCGGCCCACTATCTGAATCTGGCCGCAGGCCTTGACGAAAGAGGCGCAACTGCATCACCCGGGCCCCAACTGCATCAGGCCTGGGTTCAGGCACTGGGGCCCAGTCGCAGGCCGAAGGGAGGCCGCCCACACGCAACACTGGCATATAGGCAAGCAGGGCGAGAGGGCAGGGATCTTGGCCATTGCGGGCAATGCCGGCACGCTGCGCAAATGCGAGCTGCTGCGCTGCGCTAGGCTGAGGTGCGAGACAGGCAGGCGCTAGGCGGTAGGGCGCTGCCTGTACACAGGGCGCTGGCGGCCATAGCCGGGCTGCCTGAGGTCGCAGGGGAGGTGAGGGCGAAGGTGGTTCTTCGGAGGCGAAGGGCGCTGTGTGGGATAACAAGGGAGAGTGTGGGTGAAGGAGGAGACGTACCTGGTGGAGGTGGAGGTCGGCATTGGTGTTGACATCATCACTCGCTGGTCGTGAAGTTGTCTGGTTGCTTTCATTGTTGTAGTTGTAGGCTTAGGCTGTAGAGTAGATAAGGCGCATGGCGCCATTCAGGAGAGAGAGCTACATTGGGTTATGCTGTTGGTGTTGCCCTGTTGCGCTTGGACATTGACTCACGATTCTTCTATATCGTTCTCAAATGGATGGTTACCCGGTTCCATTGTGCTATCTGCTCTTGCTTTGACTACTTGGACTTCAGTGTGATTTTGCAATCTGGATTTCTGTGCTTCGTCCATATTCATGTTCCTTGCACTTGTCATTTCTTTTCGGAATTTTTTTTTCCGCAGGTCTAGGATTCTGTCAGTCAGTTCTATAAATCATTTGCAGTCTGAAGTCAATTTTTTTTCTCTCATTGATCATTCGCACTTCAAGGGAGGTTGGGAGACCTACTGAACTTGCAAAACTCGGGATTTTTATTATTTCAATTTTTTTTTTTTTTAAGTTCAAACTTTTCTTTTTTGATTAGTGGCTCTTTATCTAAGCGATTCTTCGCACCCACCCTCCCCACCTATGTTGTTGCCACCTCTCGCCTCACCTTCTTAACCTGTCTCCAGGTACCCCCTAGGGCGGCATTGGTAAGTTGCCACGTCAGCAGACCACGTCAACAGGCCACGTCAGCAGACTACGTTAGCAGGCCACGTCAGCCGACAACAGTGCCACGTCAGCAGCAGGGAATACCACGTCGGCAGGCCCCCAGCCTGGTCTATGCTGTTGCGTTCACAAACGACCGTCATGGACCAGAGGTCCAGAGAAGCAGACGAGGCCTATCACACCCGGATGCTGGCCTCGAGTAGCAAGTTTCACACGCAGGGGTACGATGACAACAACGCACCGCTCATGTATGTCCGCATCCAGGTTGGGCAAGCGTCCTGCAGCGCTTTGCTGGATAGCGGCGCGTCTCGCAATTTCATGAGCCAATCCTTTATGCAAAGGGCTGGCCTTGGCGCACAAGTTCGGAGGAAGGCAAACCCGACGGCGATCAAGTTGGCGGATGGGAAAACACAGCAACTTCTCGACCGATACATCGACGCCATACCGGTTTATTTCGCACCTCATGCATGCGAACCGGTGACGTTGTCGGGACTGGTGAGTCCCGAATAACTTCCCATCACTCGAGAGACTGAATATGGACGAACTGTGCACAACAGAGAAATCCGGAGTGAGACGAGATAAAGGATTAGACCGCAAGAGGGAGTAATGCCCTGGGGAGAGAACCACAGGAGGAAAGAACTAAGCGGCAACAATTGAGCGAGCGAAAGAACAGGGGCACGTAGAACATAGCAGGAGGTCAGGAAGGCCATCGAAATGCAATAAGACTAAGGCCAAAGGGGCCTTTGAACGAGCAATTGCAGCGCGACAACAATAAGGGAATGAAGAAGCCAAGAGATGGGCGGCCCAGAGGCCGCGGGAAGTCAAAAAATGAGGGGCCAACATGGAGGCCACCTACGGGAGCCTCGGAGCAGAGGCCCACGACCAAAAGAGATCGACGCGCACAAGGCGCGAGGAAAGACTAGGGAGAAGGGTCGCTATGAGGCGACAAGACGCCCAAGGGGCATGGGATACCTCAGGGAAAGGCACCTGGGGCCACGTGGAACTAAGTAAAAATAATGGCATCCGGGGCGAAATGTGCCGGGGACCACCGACGGGACTGTGTCGGGGACCGCCGACGGGACTAAGTGTCGAGGCCACCGGCGGGACTAAGTGTCGGGGACCACCGACGGGACAAGTGGCGGGGATATGAGAAAGTCACAAGAAGAAATGGTGGCACCACATGAGGGGAAATAATAAATGTGAGTTGCACTGTCAAGATCAACATCTTGACGGCCAAGAATATTAGCACCACTACTCCAAGCACTAGTGGTGACAAACGGGGAGGCCAAAAGGAAAAGGAAAAAGTAAAGAAAACTGAAGTGGGAGGCATGGGAGCAATCTGAAAAATCTCGGATCAGTCTCCCTTAAGAAAATAGAGTCAAATAAGACCCCATCTGAAAAATAGCCCTCCGGGAGAAAATCGGAGTAGGAGGGACCAAAGTGGGAGAAATATAGGAGTAAAAGGAGGCTCCCATGGGCATGGGAAGGCCATTATTGCAGTCCGAGAAATAACGGACTGCACCTTGGGCATAGGGAGGGCCAAAACTAAGAGGAAGAGGCTAGAAAAGGGCCTTAACGGCCACTTGACACTTGGCATGCTAGAAAAAAGAGGGAAAAGAAAAGAAAATGGGGGAGAATAAGACAAAAAGAGTGAGAGGGAGTGAGTGAGTTGGCCGTCAGTAGGGACTGCCATAGGTAGGGACTGGC